CTCTCTGTGGTTTCTAGTGTTAGCTAGGGTCTCCTGACAGTTCTGTGAACACTCGCAACTCACTCAGCACTTTCATAGCCTAGCGTACACGCGTATTGTGTTGGCCGCATACAAAGTCAAGCGAAGGAAGCAAGCAAGTGAGGCACAGAGCAAGTTCGACAAGCCACATACCTAGTCTGGCCGAGCAACCACGTCTTGAAGTTCGCGTCTAGCTTGCTGGGCGACTGCGTCACGCCGCCTTCAAACATCTCGATTGGGCTCTAAAATACTCTAAAATAGTACCTCTAGTCGCTAAATTTGAGCCCGCCGCGGAACGACACCCAAACCGTGGTGGTCGTCGCGGGAAAGTCTGTTGCGGAAAAGCCCCACCTTTCGAACCCGATCGTTGAAGTTGTGCCAGAGGGCCACGATCAGCTCGGTAGCCATTATGTCGCCGGCATGAGCTGATATCATCCGCATACAAAACACCTGAAACAAAAATATTTAGACAAGTTCGAATATGGAATCTGGGATGACGAACCCCATCGAAGCCGAGAAATTTATGGACAAATTTCTTGACCGACTGCCGATCGGTTGCGAGGTCTGTCGCTCGCAAATATTTGCGGATGAACTTCATATGCTGGAAAAGGTAGATTTGCAGAGATGTCTTTTGGAATAATGCAAGAACAGATTTCTCACCTGCCCAGGCAGAAACGAAATGAGTATCCAATGTAACATAGAGGTGATCGATACTATAGACACCATAAAATACCAAAACCTAAAAGAATGTTAAGAAATTATTATAGGCCGTGTTTAACGTTACAACTGACCATAAAAATAAAAATATCTTTTCGTTGAACATATTAATCATGAGCACACATTGCACAGTGTGATGATGTACATTTCCCAGAACACGTACCTAAAAATACGTCTAAAATGCTTTCTGCAAAAGATTACGGTAGATTTTTGTTACCTCGAAATCGCACATTGTCACGCGGGGAAAATTACCGCTGACCTCCCATTCTCGACCGTTAAGGAGATCTTTTAAGATGTGGAAGCCATAAAACAAATTATCCGTACCCAGAAAACTGTTCAAGATAAAAACCTGGAGATAAAGCGCTAATATTACTTGAAACAAAATTTTAGAAATTTCAAAACTCACTTGTAATACAACGTTTCCTAAATACAGCATCTTAATAAACACATATAAACATGTGACGTAATTTCCCCATCGCTTTGATACACAAAGACCCGATACGTCGGTGACCTTAAAGGATACGACTCAAAATAGAAAAAAATTTGTAGTTGGTGCAATTACAGACCTCCCGTTGAATTTCGAGAGCATCCTCCATATGGCCAGCGATCGTCTGTACAGTGGCGGCTCGCGCATCTGCATCCATCATTCGCGCGTCGCATGCCATCTGCGTTAATGACTGCACGTTAATTCCTGCAAATTCAGAATTTTTCGAAAATTTCGTAAATTTTTCTAAAGCAGATTTCGGACTTGTGAGAATCTCGATTACTGAAAATGCGGATTTCAAACAGCTTTTTTGCCTCAAAATAATTGAAAATTTCGAAATTTCCAAATAAGCTTTCTGCATCACATAAAGCCATTAATAATCGTTCAAGTAATCATTTTTTCTACAATCGTCGAGTATTGTTCGTTTGAGATCTTTCACATCTTTTAAGCTAGAGGATCCTCTTGAATTTTGCATGATTAGAGTAATCTAGGTTTGAAGCCTTCTTTTTAAAACGAAAATCCGTCACTGCTTTTGCAAACGGGTAACTGCAAGCAAATTGCCGATGAATCTATAATCAGCACCTATTTTCAGCAACCGGCAAAGGAAAACGTTTTCACGAACACCGAAAAAGGGAAAACCTAATTGGTAGAAAGATTGCAAAAATCTCGCTTTAGACAATTGATATAGTAGTAATGAGAAGAAAGAACAAAACTATGCATACGACTCTAGTCAAGATTAATTCTACATACTTTTTT